AAAGGAAAGAAAGAATACGGGAAGAAATATGATAATGGAAAAATGCTAAATCAAAAGGAAATTGAACTGATTTGTAAAAGTTCTAAAAGAACAATAAAATCACTGTAACATCCGTTCTATAATAAAGACACGGGTTAGTTTTAAGAACATCTGTCAGACTGTGACCATTTCCATACTCCTTGGAACACTGTTAATATCCGCTGACTGACATTATTCCGAGAGGGATTTTTTTTCCCTACAGAATGCCCTTTCTCAATTCAGAGTTAATGTACGGTGATTCTCTATGATGGGCATTTTGATGTTGCTTGAAATTGGATCTGTTATTCGGTTGGCAGTTGGAGAGGTAGTCATGCATGTGTAATGCGATGCGAAAGATGGTGTCTTGATATATGACAGTGTCCTAAATGGCAGTTGATAGTTTTTCGAGTTAAAGGTACTTCGATGTAAATCAGAACTCGTTCCTTTTTGTTGAATTTAAGAATGAGTAGAAAGATTATCATTTGATTTGAGGAATGTTAAGATTAAGATCTTAAGTTCAGGTTTTTTTTTTAAATTTATTCAGAGAATTCTTAGTTACCTATGTATTTTCATATAATCTTCGAAAATGAATTATTTTAAGGATGTATATTCCAAAAATAAGACATACACAATCGAACTCTTCTATAAAGAACTTAAAAGAGCTAACATTAATTATTCGTTAAATCCGAATATCATTATATCTGATATCATGTTTGTTATATATATTTATCCATCTCATTAACATGTAGAGTTCCTCACTTTGTATATTATAGCCCTGTATTACATTTAAAGAAATTAAATAAGGAAGAATCTGTACGAATGTATGTACTATATTTCTCGCATTGTGAAAAAAACGACAGTACCCAGAGCCAGCAAATTTTGAATAACGTAATCCCTCGACCAGAACATGGGCACGTAAACGTTCTAATTTGTTTTATTATTTATTTCATATTTTGTAAACCTTTAACTGATATTTGACTAAAAAATTCAACTATTTTAAACGAACAGTGGCATCACTGTATGGAATAAAATATTTTAATTTCCAGCTCGTGAGACCGTCTATCGGAAAATCTAAGGATACGCTGTTTTTAGATAACTTTAGCCCAAATACTGTCGAAACGTTAATGTGTATGTAAATGAAAAAACGCCCCTTTTGGGCGTTTATAAATACGAAAGCTTATTTATTTATTTATTTTCATTGGTGGTCTGTAGCCTTTTATAGACATTGGCTACTACTAAGATTGTAAGCTGTGATTACTTTGTTAGGAAGACACCTAATAGGTGGGCCACTTATGAGAGGACGGACAAATTACATTCATACATTCACCGGGATTCGAACACGGGTCCTTCGATACGGCAATTAGTGTCACTAACCACTTTCCCTTCTGGGTAAAATGGGACTCGTGGCCATTTTGCCGCCGCCGTTTCACCGCCGAGACGTTTAGCCGTCGGGACGTTTCGCGGTTAAGACATATTTTTCTTTACACGACTGTATTATATATTGCTGTATTATATTAAGTTGATTTAAACTAATAACTCTATTTAGTTTAGTAATTTAATATAATAAAGATTTTATATAAAACTAGCAGCTTCTCTGCCGCCTTCGTCTGACTTTTAAATGTACCGGAAAAATGGCTGAAGGAAACACCAAACGTTAAATTTAAAAACTGCGTAGAATTTTTCTCTGCAGAACAACTTCATAAAAAGTTATTACGTATAACAAAATTACAATGAAATAAGCAATATCCCTTAATACAAATATTAATTATCTTAATAAATAAATTAACCAACCTTTCCGTCGAAGAAAAAAAAATCATGCGAAACTTTTCAATTATCTTACAAACAGTGAAATAAGCAAAAAATAACATAAAAGCAACTCAAAAAAACACAAAATTGCGAGCAGAATTTTACTCTGCAGAACTTTATAAAAATCAATAAAAATTTGTTATATATATATATACTTTTACTCTGCAAAACTTTATAAAAAAAATCAATAAAAATGCATTATATATATATATATAAATGACAATGAAATATGCCAACCTCTTAAAAATAGTGACATAAGAAATACGATGAAAAATTGTTGCCAAACCCTTATTTCTAAAAGAATGAAACTATTCAAAATGATGCGATTTTATCAAAAATCTATCGACAACAATAAGAAAGGAAAATTTTTTGCCAAAATCACATTTTTAAAGATGTGAGATGTGTACTCGGAAGCTTCATTTAAAAAATCTTTTAAAAATACAAAATATTATCATTTTTCCAAAATTCTTTTTGTAAAAGCAGTCGCAAGGATGAAAGTCTAAGGTGTCTAAAAATCAAAGAAAAATAAACTGTACATTTTTAAAAATAAACTTTTTTAGAAAAAATCCCGTTGAAAAGGTGTTAAGCTCCCTTTGTTAAATAAATTCGTATTGAATCGATTTATTGAAACACGAAATTTATTTTAAGTTCGTAAAGTAGCTAAGTGCCTACTTTTCATTACGATATGAAAATGGTGTAGAGTAAAATCTCGCTTTCCTATAGCCCATTATGTCTCAAAATGACGCGATTTCGTCAAAAACAATAAAATAAAAAAAATTCGAGTTCGAATTTCGAAAAAATCGATTCTTCGAAAAAAGGTGCACTGGCTCTTGTCTAGAGATGTAGCTATGTACCAAATTTTGTAGCCCAGGGTGTATTAGCTTACGCGCAGCGCGAACGAAAGACACACACACACAGACAAACTCTTTATTTTATTATATGTAGAGATAATACATAAAATGTTTTTGTGTACAGTGTTATACAAATAACCCGTTGCACATGGCATATTAATTTTAAGAAAGTAAGGTGTTGACAAGATTCCAAAGTAATTCCGTTTTCCATCCCGTTTTCATAAAAATGTGGATTTCCTGCTTGTATGAGTGATTTCTCTCAACTAGCCGATTAAAATTTCGAGAAATTTTGACGAACCACGTAATTATTGTAACCGCATAATTTTAAAATCGATACTATAACTTCTATATCAGAAGTTTAGCCCTAGTTTTCTTTGATACTGACATAATTTTCCAACTAACTATGTGTGTAATCTCTATATATCTCATACTTGTAAATAACTATATATATTAAAAGCAACCTTTGTTAAGTACATAAAAGCTAAACATAATTATTAAACTAAATAAATTTAGTACGAGTATAATACGGTAAGATAAATACAGTCATGTAAAGAAAAATGTCTTGACTGCGAAACGTCCCGAAGGCGAAACATTCCGATGGCGAGAAGTCCCGACTGCGAAAACGGCCACAGTGAAATGGCGACTGCGAAAAGTGCTAGACCCCGTCTGGGCGGCAAATGGAAGGTTGTAGAAATGCTCGTTTAAACAAATAAGCGAGGAACTCTGTTTTCTTCCATCTACGATAAAAACACAGACTTTAACCATCAGATACTCTCGAAGTAAAAGACTGCCTCTTAAGTCTGTAAAATCGCTCTCTGAGCGAAGTAGCTGTAAATTTCATTAATGCTTGTTTCTTCTTTCTCTCTATTGCTATGGAATAAAATGGACACCACAGACTTAGAGCATCTGACACTCTGGAAGTAAACAAATGCCTTTTATGTAGCCTCTTAAGTCTATAAGGTCACTCTGTTGATATAAGTAGCTGTAAATTTCATTAGTGCTTGTTCTTTTTTCTTTCATTCCTATGAAATAAAATTGATCATTGTATATTCGTTTCTGGATTCAGCTTATATTCAAAAGGCAAGATTTTTATGTTTGGTTCCATTTTTGTTTATTAATTTTGCATTCAACCAAAATCTGAGCTGACTCCACTTACCTTCAACACAAATTGATTCTGAACAAGATTTAATTTTTACAAGAAAACAAGAATAGTATTGAAATCATAAAGTATTATTATATTGTTAAGAAATGCCAAGGCGCGGTGAGATGGCTTCCCCACAAAGCAGTTTTAGGGTTGCCATAAAATGGCAAGAGTAGGTTGGGTTGCCACATTTGGCAAGAAATCGCCCGTTTGGCGACAAAATTGGCGATATGCCATGGACGGATGGAGAACCTTCTGGAACGACTTCTTACCGGTTTAGCCCAGAATGTTCTCGAATACCAGTCAAAAGCTATATAAACCCTGCTGGTACGCGGAGCGTTAGTATAGAGTTGGATTCTCTTTGTTTTGAAGTCATATAATCATAATCATAATAATACTGTTACGAAATGTAAAGGCACGGTAAGACAGCTTCCCCGCAAAGCAGTTTTGGGGTTGCCATGAAATGGCAAGGGAAGGCAGGGTTGCCACATTTGCCGAGAAATCGCCCATTTGGCGACAAAATCGGCGATATACCATGGACGGTTGGAGAACCTTCTGGAACGAATTCTTACCGGTTTAGTCCAGAATGTTCCCGAACACAAGCCGAAAGCTATATAAACCGTGCTGGTCTGCAGTCAGGAGGTGTGCTTCATCAAGAGGAAGTGTGTCTCTCATCGAGCGTGAGTGTGTCTCGTCTAGCGAGTCAATCCCTGCGGAGTCGATCGAGTTGACAGCCGGGCAGCGAGTCCGAGTGGGTCGTCGTGTTCTCCGAAGGAGTCTGTTAGTGCATCGTCGAGAGAGCGTGTTGAGCTCCGGGAAAGACTGAACCGAAGAGTCGGGAGCCGTGCTCTGTGTGTCGTCGAGTGCATCGCGAGTTGTAGCGTGGAGAGTCTCGAGAGTACGTGGAGTTTCGAGAATGAGCAAGCAGAGGCGGAAGCTGTACTCTGGTGCTTTGCAGTGAAGTTGTCTCTACCGTGATAGCTTGATAACCTGAAAGCTGTGTCCCTGATTGTGTCAGCGTGTTTATAGTAGATCTTCGACGACTGTAAATGGTGACTTTGGAGCTGTATTAATATTGGTAAATAAAGTGTGTTTCGATACTTCATCAAGTGTCGTCGTTATTCATTCCAAATCTACGAACCCCGTACGAACGTGAAGGCAGAAAATAACGTAACAACTGGTGTCAGAAGAAAAACGCAACAATATATTAAACATGAAATTATATTTTCCCTTTAATTTCTTAATTTTGGATTTGAAAGCATGATTTAAATTCGAGTCGGCAATTTTTGATTGAAGAATTAGTATCTTATATCCAACTTGTCTGATCTTTGCAGCATTTGTATATAACTGTAGGTAAAATGTTCTTAAAGAATTCGACTTTTAAAATAAAGATCCATGGCTTTGAGTATGTTGCTATTAAATATCATATTTGTCGTATCTATCAAAATAAAGATTCCGCTGTATGAAATCAGCTTGTCTAATCTTCTTTCTCTTGTTTGTATAATCCTTGAAAGGATAATAGAGCAAGTAACCGATGGTTTCGATGAAATCGAACAGTGCCACAAGAGAAATTCCCAGCCACATTCCCATGTAACCACCGATGTAGCTGAACATTTCTACGCTCTGAAACAGAAAACAAATATTACTGTTATTATAAATTCCATGCTGTTATAAATATTTTTATTATAAATTTTATCACAAAACAATAATTTATGGAAAACACCCGAGTCAAAAACTATGATTTATTGGGAATATACATTTTTGCATTTTAACTTCTTGATATTGCAGTTTTGTTTTTTTTTTAACTTGAATTCAACTAGAAAATGATACTTCAATTTTTACTTCCTTGAGCAAATTAAAGTAAGTATTATAATCGCGAAACATTTCGGTATCATATTTCAACAGAAATTTAACTGTTTCAGAATTTCAAAATCCATTTTTATTATTTTTTGAGTGATATCTGTACGTATGAATAGAATATACGATCTTCTTTCCAAAATGTACTGTACAATTGATTTTAAATGGATGCGCAGTCGTTGGTTGTAGCCATATATTTCCAGTTACAGAAATGTTTAAAATGAAAGGAATATTCATATTTTGGCAACATAATTTTTTTAAATTAATTTTGGACAAATAACGAAATATAACTTTTAATATGGTGTCCCGGTTCCGAAATTTATGTTGAAAAAGCTTTGTAGGTTTTATGAAAAAATCTGATGTGTACACCACATGACTTCCTTGTATGGAATATTAAATTATACGCATTTTTTCTTGCATTTCATTTAAAAATGATTGGACTGAATTAAATCTACTTCGCCGACAACGCATAAACAATAATAGAATAAATGAATTATTTAAAATTCACTCTAGTATTTGTTTATCATAGCGACACTCTGCGCTAGATTCACTTAAAAGTATTATATTTCGTTCATATTATAACTCAAAATGCACAAAATTTATATCATTTAAAGAATAGAATTATCTGATCGTTGCCACATGTTCTATTCAAATACTATAATAAAGCTAGAACGATGTATAAAAGAAATTAAGCAAACAAAACAAAAAAAGAAACAGTTTTTCACAGACAATTGAGTATTTCTCATTCAATTAATTCAATTTTTTCTTCAACCTTTCTCACTTCGCGAGAAGGTAAAAATATATAAAAACTCAAAATATCCATATTAAAAATTACGAAGTAAATCTTAAACACTTATTTCCTCGAAAAAAATTCAGAAAGGATTAAGCATGATTTAATTGGCAATAATAAATGAAGGCGTTATCTTTGTTGTTGCGAAGCTAAGTTTCTCTAGATTGGCAACAAATCCACTAGTCTACTGTTTCAAATGTAAACAATCAATGGCCGCCATCAAAAAAAAAAGGCTTAGCGGCACTTAAACAACTTTAAAATTGTTGATAATTCTAAAAATATTGCATACAGATTTACTAAAGGCATAAAAACCTTAACCGGAAGATAAAAACAACATAATTCAAACATTTTTAAGGCAAAAAATGTACAATTTACAAACATAGAAGTGTAAAGAAACTGAGATCACTGAGCCGGTAATAGAGTGGATATATATATAAATATATTTATATACGTTTGGGGCAGCCGATTGCAACCAAAATACGAGGTGCACATCTACATGTTATAGCAGCCCTATATACAAAATTTCAATGTTCTGAGGCTACTCGTTTTTGAGTTATGCGAGATACGTACGTACTTACGTACATACGTTCTTACAGACGCCACGAAAAATTCTCTTCAGAATTAATTTTAAAGCAATTTTATAATTTTTTTGGAGGAAACTTGTCTTTTATTCTGTCCTTACGTACAATTATCACGCAAAAACATCGTTAAATTGCATTCGATAGCGGTCAAAATGGATATTTTCGTTGAAATATGCTGCCTGAAACTTTTCGCGATTACAATACTTCCTTTTTACTTCGTACAAGGAAGTAAACATAAAAGTTTAAGTAGTTTGACGTCCGTGCGACGAAAATTGACCGGAATACTTCATTTCAATATCTGCAGTTTGTCTGAAATTTTGTTTACTCTTCTAGATCAAGGTCAACTGGCATGGTGAGTTCGACGTCCTAAATTCATAAAGCCCCGTTTTCGCTAGTGCGTGACGAATGCGTTACGTATGTGTTTACCAGTCACATACGCTCTACTAAGAACTTCTAAACTCTTCTACCGAAGTAACTGAAACTTCATTTACTTACTGGTTTTACCTCATTTACATAAAACGCGATACTGGAAACTTATTCTAGTAGGAAATCGTAGGTGGGAAACAAGGATATAAAGGATAGCAAAAGTAAAAATAGCTTGTAGAGACATTAGGATATTTCGAAGCAAGAGAGATGAAAAATGGGCAATGCTTTTGCCGGGAATCGAACCACGGACCTCTCGAATGCGCGTCGAGCGTGCTGACTACGAAGGCATTCTAAGAAGGCGAGAGAAATACCTTATAAGCTATTAGAAATGTAAAATAAACCCCTACTCTGTTCCGAAAGCATTAAGGGGTCTCATACACCTTAAAACCCATAAGATGTTCGAATATGTGACTGTTGCAAGAATTGGGATAACTTACTTATTTTAAAAGCAATTACTACCAACTTTTTACAGCTGACCACATAATATAGCTGCTTTCTGAAATAGTAATCAGAAAGTTTGTGTTGCCACAAATATTTTTATAATTGAATCCGCTCTGTGACAACATTTTTCGTCATGTTTCCAACTTGCGCGCACAGTTTAAAACATTATGTTTCATAATTTAATTCCATATTTAATATATAGCTTTCATAACATTTGGAAACTACCGTGAACCTAAAATTCTAAAAATTTCATGTTCAATTTTTATTTTATTTAGAGTTGAGTTTATAAAATGTATTTTATTAACAAAATTTGTAATGTTTTCGTCCATAAAATTTTTCAATATTAAAATATTCATCAGATTGTTGGTTCAGTTAGAGAATAGTGCCCATATAAAGAGTTCCATCCAATTTCAAGTATGTACCATTAGCCATTTTTAAAATATCATACGCGCAAGGTGGAAACATGGCGAAATGTTTTGTCACAAAGAGGATTAAATTACAAAAATATTTGTGGCAACGCAAACTTTCTGGTTACTAGTTTCCAAAGCAGCTATGTTATGTAGTCAGCTGTAAAAAGTTGGAAGTAATTGCTTTTAAAATAAATAAAATATCTCAATTCTTGCAACAGTCACATATTTGAAGATCATGAGAGGTTTAAGGTGTAGGAGTCCCCTTAAAGACACAAACTTAACATTAAAACCGTTCTGAAATTTTTCACATCTACTTTGCATCTAAGCACATTGATAATTTTAAAGTCATCTGCAAATACGTTAGTTCAAAGTTTACGATTCTATTTTGAATAATAATTCGCTGTTGTGATTTATCTAACTTATCTGATCAGGTCCACGAACGTTTTCGTGGCCAAGAGATAAGGGTTCTTTATCAGTATTTTAAGAACTCCGATTTAGCAAAAAAAGCTCTAGAATTATTATCATTCATGTCCAAAGCTATGGCATTCGGCCATAGCTTTGGCCATAGCATTCCCTGCCGCACAGTAGCAAAAGGAAGAAAAAATAATTAATCCATTTTTTAAAAAAATGATCTATTGCTGTTATTACAATGCTGTTTAATATTAAAATTCAAATCTAGTAAGTGAAATACATTGTCGTTGTTGTTGCTAATACTCACTTGTCTGACCTATAGCCAAGCCCTCGAAAATCCTCGTGGCAAGGAGCGTAAGTTTACGCCTGCCGTTGGCAACAGCCTTGAGCACCTTATTGGTGACAGTACGGTTTAGCTCAGTTTCGCTCCCAATTTGATGAAGAGCACACCGGAGGGGGGAGGGTCGGAGGTTCTTCCACCCCTCTTCCCCTATCACAAACCTCTCGAGAGGACTTTGGTTCGTTGCATATTTAGAATGCCCTCCATGCCGCACGGACACTATACGTTTACAAACACCCATGCCTTCTCCGGGATTCGAACACGGGTCTTTCAGCACGGCAGTCAGCGACGCTAACCGCCATACCGGTTGAACGGCTGTGAAACATATACTGTACATAATTGAAGCACAGCACACGGTATTGTACATTAACGTTCTTCTGCTATCCAGATCAAAAGCATACTCTAGCGTCTCTTATCTATTGCTTGATAATCGATTTCACCCCTTTCGCAGCACGAGCCTATTTAATAACATCTTTGTTTTCCACAATCCTGGACACCATCGTACTGGACATACCGTATGCAAGAGCTAAGTTCCCGGATAGGCATGCTTTTAATTACCGTAATTTCCGGAAGAAACGCCGCGGCGTTTACGTGTTTAAAACTTAAATTTTCAGCGGGTGCGGCGTTTCTACCCATGCGGCGTTTAGGTGCACTAAAAATAAAATATTTCCTATGATGGTCATTGTACATAGTTTGGATGGCCTTGTGCATAGACTGGTGCTGTTCCCACACAAAAGACCACTCAGTTGCTTTTTGCGAACGTTATTTTGTTTACATTCTTTCCCTTGAACGGACCCTACATGCCTTATTTACCCTAAACGAGATCTCAGAACAATAATATTCTTCCCCCTTCCAAATCAACATTCTCATCAGTTTGAATAGTCTCTCTCCTCTGCCATTCCATGAATCTTCCAAGACCCATCCTCTCCCCACCCCTGCCTTTTCTGCAATTTTTTTCAAAGGCGGACACGACTCCACCTGCCTCGCAATAACGAACTCTGACGTATTTCGCCTTCAGCATGAATGGATTTTTCTTGGAGCCAAATACAGATCCCATCAGTTTGGGTACAAGCACTTGTTGGATTGTTTTTAATTAGGGAGCGGAAAATTTTTGAAAATGTCTCTAAACGGCACAGAAGCTATACATTTCTTACCTTTAATTTATTTTTGAGTTATGGTTTCATTTCATGCATTTTTCTTAACTGGTATGTCATATATCAGGACTTAGGTTGAGTTTTTGCATCTATACGGCCCACGACGATGTCACGCGCAATTTAATCTATTGCGGCGTTTCTGTGTAATTTTAAATTTTTTCCTGCCATTTTTCTCGAGTGCGGCGTTTACGCTGATGCGGCCTTTCTTCCGGAAATTACGGTAACCTCTTTTTTTACCTCCATGGTGATCCTAATAATTTTCTTCGTTGTTCGACTCGTTAGCTTACTAAAAGTGAATTTGCAAAATATTTACGCGATAAGCATAAAATCACTGAAGATTCAGAATTAAGGTAGGTTGTTTACTGAATAGTAGCAAAAGAGATTTATAAGCATTTGTTGCAGTGTCTCTAAGGCCCATATCACCCGGCGTCTGTTTCACACGAACAACTGTTTCGGACAATTTTTCTGCCTGGTTTTACTATTGAAAGAAAGACGTGCAACTTTTTCCTTCCTTTCGAAAAAAGTTGCAAGTTGTTCGTTTTCAACCAATCAGCAATCAGCGCCGAATGCTGTTAGCTTGTTCGTAATGGAGAACCAGTTTTCCCTGTGTTAACCCCAAAGCGAGCTATGGTGATTGGCTGTTGTGACAAAGCAGAAAAATTGTTCCAAACAGTTGTTCTTTCGAAACAAACCGACGTGTGATAGCAGCCTAAGAGGTAAACAAAGTTAATTCGCTCAGTCGTGACTCATCGAACTCGAGTCGTATTCCAAAGAACTGATACGAAACAAAAGTCTTCGCATATGCCAGACTGGACGCATTTCAGAACAGACGTATACAGAGATGTGACTGTATTAGGATAGAAACTTTTAGTTTCAAGAGAACTTTTAATCAACCATAGGTTCGTCCTAAGCAAATATTATTAGAAAGCACAATGTACTGAAAGAAGCTAAGAGTATAATGTGAATTGTTCTATGCCGAGTAACCAGTTTGTTAGAGTTTTACTAACTTGAAAGTAACGTCAGGACAACATTTATAAACATACCTCATATTTTGGCTCATGTTCAAACTTCGTGACTTCCATTCGATTGAATATGAAATTTAAGACAATAGCCTTAGACCTGGAAAACAAGTTTTCTTTTAAGTTTGTTTCAATGGAATAGTTGAAGATATTTTAAAACAAAGAATGGTTTGTGCGGGTACAAAATTGTTGTAGTCATGAAATTACATTTGCTATAATTGTATGAAAAAATGAATAATGTATAAGGAGCTAAATTCTTTCGTAAACAACTAATTAATACTGTTATAAAATACTAGAAAGCCCGGCGGTCATACGAAATGACCGTTGTTCTAGATATTATAAATTGTAATTAAAATGCTTTGTGCAAAGGTGTCTGCTAATTGAAACTGAATTACCCAGGGCAGGCGGCGAGAACGCCCCTTTGCTCACTGCCCCACGGGGTTTCCCCCTTCTACTTCTAATTGCTTAAGTAGAGTGCAGCGAAGGAAACTACTAGCGGTACATTTCTTAAGAGCCCACCGCTAGCTCCATCAATAAAGGTGATTTAAATAAGGAAATGTTAATTCACATGTCAAAGATCTCTTTGTACACAACATTTCTTGTGCAGATCTTTCCATCATTTTTAAGCTCGCCTTGCAGAGTACCATCCATTATTTTTAATTTTACGTGCGTTCTTTTAAGAACTCTTGAACAGGCAACATAAATTTGACCGTGTCCAAATGTAGGCTCAGATAAAAAAATGCCAAAACGCTTAAACATTTGGCCCTGATACTTATGGATGGTCATAGCAAAGGCAAGTTTTACAGGAAATTGTCTACGTGTCAATTGAAACGGCAACCCTGTGCCGTGGCAACTTCACCCCATTGGCTAGTACAGTAGTACAGTTACGCAAGTAACCAATAAACTATCATCGATAAACAGACACTTAAGCCATAATATATATATAATATTATATATATGGGTGAAGTAACATCATCTCTTCTCCGAAACGGCTGCTCCTAGCTTAGCGAAGCACACCGTTGGATTCCGCAGGTCCGTGGCACGTCATTTTGACCATTCGTGTCTTCTTGGGACTTTAATAAATTAGCCGAGATTTAATTAAAAATTAATTTTTTCCTACTTTTTTTCCTATCCTTTCCCCTTTCTTTTTCTTCTTCTTTCGGTTTTTTTTTTTTTTTTGTTTTTTTTTTAAGGATTTTGCCTCGTGCCAAATTTTTTTTTTTTTTTTTTTTTTCGAATATCTACTGAACGACGGCGCCGAATTGGAATTCAAGACCCGTATCCTCTCGGATTCCAAAAAATCTTCGAATCCATCGATACCGTCTCTCTTCGTACGACTTTAATAAGCCTACGATTAAAACAACTGCGAAACGTTAATTTCCGCGCTCATTTTTCCGAGTGGCAACAATAAACTATCGGCGACACACACTTATATATATAAAGAAAAGATACTATATGAAATTAATTTTACTAATCGGCATTAGTTGTCGGTTGCTAACAAAATGGTAGCGATGTTTCGTAGTCCTTCGTAATCGATTTTAATGAGAGATAGTTTCCTTCGACAAACGTCAAACTGGCTTGCCTATTTAATCAGATAGCTACACAGTGGAATCTCGGATCACGAAAGCCTCATTTTACGAACAATTCGGCTCACGAACAGGTTATCTGAACAAAAAATACCTCGGATAACGAAAGATGTTTCGAGTTACCAACATTCAAAATGTGATTGTCTTGGTGGTATTTTCTGGTTCTTGCTTTTATGTATTTTTAAATAATTTATGCTTATGCAATTAACAGTAAGGGACTTCTGAAAACATAATTTTAATATTTTTTATTGCTTAGCTCTCATTAGCAAAGTCTGGCAGCACGTGACTTAACAGGATAATGAATTCGGCCTGGAGGGAAGAGAGCAAAAAAAAAAGATAAAAGAAGATGTCTCTTAAAGATATTTATCTGATATTTTTATGAAAGGTAATAAAAAGCTAACTCATAAAGGCCTTTATTTATTTTTGTGAATGGTATTTTCGCATCTAAACAACTACATCTTTTTCATCATGTTACCCTGATACCGTGCCTTCTCCTTCTTACAGCTACAGTAACACTAAATTCAGTTTTCATTTATTTTATACGCTTAATATCGTGTTTATTTATTTTTAGCCCAAAAGGGACGCTACTCCCGAATGGGGCATTAGTCTCAAACGGCATTTCGCATTGAATTGCTATAAACTGTGTATCATTTTTCAAACTGTTGCCATAAAATATTATTACCCTGTATTATTTTTAAAGAAATTAAGTAATGAAGCATCTGTTTCACTGTATGCATGTTTCTCACATTCTGACTTCTGTACTGAAACCAAGCGTCTGGGCTCAACTTTTCATGAAAGACGAGGTTTTATGTACTATGTCCTTTTCTCTATCTTCGGGAACGTTACGCGAAGATAGAGTTCAGTTACTTTTTGTGATGCATCCTGGATAAAGCCCTTGGTGATGAGGCAGCTAAATGACTAACGGATTCGGCTATTCCGGACAAATGCTTCAATAGGAAATGTTCACCATTGCGGAAAAAAGTTTCGGAATTGAAATTTTTTAGTCTAAAAGGAAGATGCCAGGTGATACCAGAAATTACGTACTCAACTCCTTATTTTTAAATTAATTTTTGCTCTTAAAAAGTCGCCAGCGAGAGATCTAGTGATTGTTCTACATATACCATTTTTAACTCTGGTAGTAAACAGGATGAATAAAATACGTAATGCAATTGCTCGTTATGATTAGCTACTAATTAACTTTCTCAAAAATTTGTTCAACTTACAGACAGCAGTTGAAAGAAAATTCTGTTTCAACTTATGCGATTTCTTGTTATGTGAGATCGGAAGAATAAATAACAGAAAACGACAAAGCTGTTTCGCACAGTGCATCCATTATCAGATGGTTTAATACAAAAAATAATGTAACTGGTTTTAATCATTCACACCTTATTCAACAGTTTTAACCCGTACAGCTTATTTACTTTTCTCTAAATTAAAATTTATTTCATCATCAAGGGCACTATATAAATAATTGCTAATCCTCCCAGCGCGTACCACGGCCAGCTAGTAGCTGGCAGATTGGCCTGCTACCAAATACCTGAAAGATTAACCAGCTAGTAACTGGAATATTGGCTAGCTAGCAAATAAAAAACAGTCCAGCTTGCAAGTGGAAGATCGCCCAGTCAGCAACTGGAATATTCTCCAGCTGGCAATTGAAATATTCGCCAGCTAGCAAATGACAGACTAGCCAGCTAGCAACTGGAAGACTGGCCAACTAGTAACTGGAATATTGGCTAGCTAGCAAATGAAAAACAGTCCAGCTTGCAAGTGGGAGATCGCCCATTCAGCAACTGGAATATCCTCCAGCTAGCAATTGGAATATTCGCCAGCTAGCGAATGACAGACTAGCCAGTTAGCAACTGGAAGACTGGCCAGCTAGTAACTGGAAGTTTGGCTATTCTTTATTAAAGTCTTCCTCTACGAGTATCTAACATGCTCTACAATCCTTCTTGAAACATTTCAGACCTTTGAAAGGGAATTTAAGAATATTTCAATGACTTTCTACGAAGAAATGCACAATTTCTGTCAACGAGATATCAGTTGCACATTGTTAAAAGCAATTTTGCATAGAAGGCTAAACAATAAAAATTCCAAATTGGAAACGAAACTCAAACTGGAAGAGAAGCTAGCCAGTCTAAAACTCAAAATTAGGTAAAAAAAAAGCAATTTTATTTTGGAGTACATTTTTAGCTCTATAGATTTTGAGGACGATCAAACATTGATTCCTTCTTCTTCAGGAGCAAAAAATAATCTGAATGAAAATTTGTGTTCCACAAATCTCACATTTTCTTAGCATAAACTTAGCTTTAGGTATTTTTAAATAGTCTGCGTATAGCATGCCCTATTAGCATATCCATAATCAAAACTTTTTGCATTATCTGTAAAATGGGCAAGAAAAACAAAATACTACGAAACTTTTTAAAATATTGTGTAAATGGGATTATTATTTGTCTGACAAAATATAAACGAGGCATTTGAAGAAATAAATAAAAGATATTAATATGAAACTTACTTGCATCCTGCAAATTCACTCAAATCACACTGCAAAATAAAGAAAAAAATGTATCAGAAATACTTTTCATTTTTTCAAATTTAGAACGTGTTTTTCTTATCGTAGAAGTTTTTCCATAAACTTCATTATAATGTGATGAATAATTAACTGGGTGAAAGTAAGATAAAAATTTCTTTAAATCTCAAAATAAAAACAAATTTCGGAATATTATAAAAAAAGCAAATTCCTTTTCGTTGCGTTACTTTCAACTGCACTTTCGAAATCAAATTCGTGGTAATTTGATACTTCGTTTCGCTGATATCGTTTGCTCCCGTTTAACATAGGTAATTTTTATAATATTTCAAAACTTTTTCATTTTTATTATACCTAAATTTAGCGAAATGCGATGAGAATCAGCCTCTAAACAAGCGCCATAGTGTCCCGTGACTGAAGTTGTAAAAGACAGAGATTACAAAATCACACAATTACCAATTATATCAACAATTACCAATTATATCAACAGAAAAATATTTTAGATTACTAAATAAAAGAATCATTTTAAAGCTGGTATGTAGAAGTTTTTAATCAAAAACTATATTAAAATATAATCAAAAGCGTTTCCATTTTAGTATTCAAAACTTGAACAACATATTAGATTTTGGTTAAAATTGATAAACCGGTAGCCATAATTTATTTGAAGCTGTAAACAAACTTCCTTAAAAAATCTATTATGATAAATACCAAAACTTTTCATATTAGGTATTTAAAATAAGCTCATTGTTAACACGAACTCTAGTTATGGAACAGTTAAATGTATAATCTCAGTTCTGAAATTTGTGTTCGTTTCCGATTTGTGTTGAATCACTTTAAAAAAAAGGATGTTGTCACCAAATAGTATCACGATGTATTAATTTCAAAGAAATAATGTACCAGATATAAATAATATGACGAATATAAAAAAAATTATATCAAGAATTAAACACTATTAGAAATTCCAAAGATATATTGCTTTTAAAAATTTTGTTGTTCAGTTTTATGTAGCGTATATACAAAGAAAGTAATATTAAAAAATAAAGCGCTAAAGTAACAAATGGAGTTGGTTATCTTGTTAAGAAAATTTGAACAAGGATATTATAAACTCAGGAAAGATTTAAAAAGAAATGGCAACGCCTAACGATCTATCGGAAGCTCTAAAGATATGCTGCTTTTAAAAAATTTCTGGTTGTTAAGTCATTGATTTTTTAATCCGAAGCACTATATGACCAAATGATTATTATACACTATATGACCAAACGGATTACTATACACTATATGACCAAACGATTACTATACACTATCTGACCAAAAATATCCAAACACCTAGAGGTACGGAATATTAGAGTCCTGAGGCATATATTAATATGATGTTGGTATTTGTTTTGCACTGATGACAGCTGTCACACATCTAGGAAAAATTTCCCCAGTTTTTGATAGGTGGTCACAGGAAGGGACTTCCAAGCGTCCATTACAACTAAAGTGAGTGCTAACAGTTAGGATGCTCGATTTGGCTTGGTACGTAATCTGCATTCCAATTTGTCCCAAAGGTGTTCTGTGGGTTTTATATCGGGGCTCTGAGAAGGCCAATCCAGTTTTTGAACATTCATTTCTTCAAACTATGGCTGAACAAGTTCTCGATGTGAGAATAGAGCATTTATTCTGCAAAAAGAAAAATGGTCTTTCTCCTAAATATTGCCATAGAGTTGGAAAAGCAGCATTGTCCACAACCACGTATATCTCAGAGTTCACGTTGCCAAACACAGGAACTAAAGGAACCAGGCCAAACTTTTAAAAAATACCTCACACCATGATGCCCACCACCAAACTTTACCGGCACCTTTAACAAACCGAGCATCCACCAAACCTAGACGTGTCCATTGGACTGCCAGATTGTAAAGTGAGATTCATCATTCAAACGAAAATTTTACCACTTATCCACAGTTCAACAACGGTGACCTCTGCACCATTACAATCGACGTTTTGCATTCTGGGGAGTGTTGTTCCGCTTATCGAATCCCAGGTTTTTTAACGCTCGGTGAGCAGTCATTTCTGCTAGCACCAACGCCTGATGAGCTTTGGAACTCCTAATTGATTTCAACCAACGAGGGCTTCCGATTTTGTTTCACTACCCTTTTCAGAGTTCCACGGCTGCATTCACTAACGTTTTCTGCCTGCCACTTCGTTTTTCTACAGTTTCATTGCCTAGACGTTTCTACTTCACAATTATATCATTCACAGTGGATTTTGGCTTCTGCAGAATGTCCGAAATTTCATGAACGGATTTCCCAGAAAAGTGGCATCCCACTGTACAGTCACGACCAAAGTCACTAAGCTCCTTTGACTTAGTCATTGTCTCGCAAGCGCATAAATATAATCTGAAAAACCACTAACAACACTTTTATAGCTTTCGGTTACTCATCAAATAAAGTTACCTTCCAGCTCCACTTTTTTAAAGGGAGGTCCGGATACTTTAACAGATAGCCTATGCGATATTTCGATCGATGCAATATTTTCAAATGAAAGCATGAGAACTGATGTGTACATGAGCGTATACATTTATCATTGTCCATTGTATAGGAGAATAGAATAATGAAAACGTGTAGTGTTTGTAACTAACATTGAGCCAGAAGGTTTATAAACAACTTAGAATTTATTTATAAACTATCTACAGGAAGGGATAACTTAATTAAAGGTAATTGCTATTCCGCCCGTTCTATTCTTAACATAAAACATTTGACCTCCTCCGAATTCCATGTCCTAACATAGAATTGGGAGGAATTCTTGGATTAAAAATGTCGTGTATCATAGTTATAAGGAAATATTCCATTTTGACCATTCCCGAATGTATTTTGGCATTTTTTTTTTTTTTTTTTTTTTTTTTTTTTTTTTTTTGCGTTATGTCGTGTACGCACAGAATAAAGAGCTCTTTATTCCAAAACCAGTTGTACAATGGATTCAAAATTGTCTCAAAGGGGATTCTTTTCGTGACATCTGCACGTATGTATTTGCGCAAGTATCTCACATAACTGGAAAACGATTAGCCGTAGAACGTTGAAACTTTTTACATGGGACTGCTATAACATCTTAATTGTGCCCTTCCCTTTTTTATTGCGATCGGTAGTACCAAACGCATATTTAGTTATTTATAGCAGATAAGTGGGCGGTAAGAGTGGGTGCTTGAACTTCCTGTCCACAAGAGGCACTGAGCTATGCAGCACAAACTAGAATAATATAACAAAGCTATTACTTAAAACATAGTATGCAAGCAGACCTGGAGCTGCCCTCCATAGCATGTACGTTCGAAAGGCACCAACTGTAAAAACACCAATGTATATTTAAGGGGAAAAGAAAGGCACAGCCCGCGGTATGGTAAAATACAAAGCATTGCAAGCAACGCCTGGCAGGATCCCCTGTAAGTCCTGTGGGGTCTAAATTATCTGGGTATCTAGTGTGGCTGGACAATACCCACATTGCCAATGGTTAAACAATGGATGTCCACCACATTTCTCCATATCCATATCCATATAGGGCGTTTATAAATGAATGGTCCGGTTTTAAAAAATAATAATAAATCGGTGTATTATCTTACCCGAGATAAAACCTATACCATAAGCATTGACAACTGTTCAAGTTTCTCGTGCCACTGCTGCTTGCTTTTCATGCTTACCGAGCAGCCGCAGCGTCAGTTTCCAAGATGATGCCGCAGCAGGAAAAGGCTCTCTTTGTGATCCGTTTTGAAGTGGCCAGGTACTATGTGGTTTCAGTGCACATTTTGTGTGCAGTTTTCTGAGAGAACGTGCATTGCCCATTTTTCGTCGAACAAGAAACTGTGATCGGCGACTCATTTCTATACATGTTGGAAACCTGGTTGCTACCCAAGCGGAATGCAATTATGATGATTACATTTTGCAACTGGACAGTGCTCCGCTCCATTTTCACAGGGATGTAAGAGAGCTTTTTAATCGTGTTTTTCACCAACGCTGGATTGGACATACTGCAACAACAAACAAAAAAATTCTTCCATAGCCTTCTTTGGGAGTTTTTTAAGGACCTAGTTTATGTACCGCCAATGCCCGTGTCCCTTGATAAAGTTTGTGACCGGATAAAGCATGTATTGCAGACCGTAGCGGGGGACATGCTACACGTGTATGGGAAGAATTTGATTACCGTGTAGATGTGTGTCGTGTAACCAAGGGTGCACATATCGAAGGATTGTGATTTAATACACCAAAAACTTGGACACGCTGCTTATGCTGTAAGTTTTACCCATATAAACTAATACATCGATATATTATATTGACTTTAAAAAAAATGCACCATTCACTTATAAACACCCTGTATATTACCCACTCACCCTTACCTCAATTCAAAGTCCTTTTATTTTCGCAACGGTTGGTCGTGGTCATATACTGCCAATTACAGAAGTGTATTAAAAAACGAAATTATTCCTGTTTTGGCAATATCAAATACAAAACGAAACATTAATTTTGGACAAATAACGAAATCTGAATTTCAATGTGGTCTCCCATTCCTATACTTAGAGTTGGCAAAGTTTGATACTCTTTATGAAGAAACTAAAATACCAGAAGTCTGACTCTCGGATGACAAAATTTGATCGTGGTATTTAAATTCAAAATATGGAATTTTTTATGTCGTTTTCAACTTCTCCTGAGAGATCGGATAATTAAATTAGAATAATTCCAGGAAATAAGCTTAAATGAAGTGAAGGGGGAAAGATATGTATAATTTAATGGCCATACAAGTCATGTTGAGTCCCCAACAGAATTTTTAATAGATATTTAAGAATATAACAAAATAAAAAACCATTTTTTGCTTGCATGATTCAAAGGCAAAAAGCATTATGTTTAAAAAAACTTTTTGCAAGTCGTGATACTGCAAGGAAGATGATTTGCAGTAAATAGCTCAATTCTTCATCTTAAGAGATATATCACTAGTTTCTTGTTTTTCATAAAGTTCTCTTTTTTATTGTCGATGAGTTTTCTGGTCAATCACACATTCCATTAATTTCAACAATGTTTAATAAGTATTATATCTTTAAACATTTGGAAACCACTTTGAGGTGCTTTTTTGTATATTACTCTAGGCGTAATTAATTACTTATTCATGTTATTATATTTTTCGGTATTTTTATCTTATCTATAAGGTACTCAGTTTTAGAAAAGGTTGGCTTTCCGTTACACAGTAAATTTTGTTCGTCTTTGGTTTACTGTTTAAGTTATACTGTTTAAGTCTTAAGTTTTACTGTAAATAGTATTTATGTCTTCATATGTTTAAAATTCGAAATAGTTGATAGTTACCTTGGGTATATCTCCTTTCACTTCTACTCTTAAATTATAAGACCTTTCTCTGAAATTAAAAAAAGTCTTTATAAATAAAATGGAAAAATAACCTAAGCATGAAATTGTAAAAATAAAATGCGAAAGCAAGGGGATTTGCAAAATGTCCAGCAAAGGAGTCCAGCAATTCCTCTCTAACACTAGCCTCCTTACCTCTAACACTCCCCTCCATTACTCCTCCTTTCATATCAAGCCATATGCAGCCTATTCCAGACACTTCCAAACGTCGAATTTCCGCTGCAATAGAAGCACAGTGGCACAATTCCTCTCTAACACTAGCCTCCTTACCTCTAACACTCCCCTCCATTACTCCTCCTTTCATATCAAGCCATATGCAGCCTATTCCAGACACTTCCAAACGTCAAATTTCAGCTGCAATAGAAGCATAGTGGCACAATTCCTCTCTAACACTAGCCTCCTTACCTCTAACACTCCCCTCCATTACTCCTCCTTTCATATCAAGCCATATGCAGCCTATTCCAGACACTTCCAAACGTCAAATTTCCGCTGCAATAGAAGCATAGTGGCACAATTCCTCTCTAACACTAGCCTCCTTACCTCTAACACTCCCCTCCATTACTCCTCCTTTCATATCAAGCCATATGCAGCCTATTCCAGACACTTCCAAACGTCAAATTTCAGCTGCAATAGAAGCATAGTGGCACAATTCCTCTCTAACACTAGCCTCCTTACCTCTAACACTCCCCTCCATTACTCCTCCTTTCATATCAAGCCATATGCAGCCTATTCCAGACACTTCCAAACGTCAAATTTCAGCTCTGCAATAGAAGCATAGTGGCACCAATTCCTCTCTAACACTAGCCTCCTTTACCTCTAACACTCCCCCTCCATTACTCCTCCTTTCATATCAAGCCACATGCAGCCTATTCCAGACACTTCCAAACTTCAAATTTCCGCTGCAATAGAAGCATAGTGGCACAATTCCTCTCTAACACTAGCCTCCTTACCTCTAACACTCCCCTCCATTACTCCTCCTTTCCCTCCTCTCCGACGCTACCACTAGAAGTAACAAATCTGCACAAAAGAAAATTGGCTCAGTCATTACGTATGATGCCACTACCTATTCAGCCATGTCAAGCCACATGTAGCCTATTCCAGACACATCCACAACGTATGATTTCCGCTGCAATAGGGGCACAGTGGCACATTTTCCTCTCTGCGCTCAACACTGTTTACCCATACAAAGTTGAATATCTCTGTATTGATCTGCAATGTCGTATTTACGTATAAACTGCATACATTAGGGTCCCTACTTTTTTTAGGGCCCTCCAAAAAAAAATTATCCCAAATTCCATTAGAGAAAACTTTTCTGTATCACTTATGACAGGCCTCATATCTCAAATAACTTCTGGCCTTTGTGAAGTGTAAATCTGGTCCGACTGATATGCATATTTTCAATTTATTTGTTTGTTTATCAGCTGTCCATATGTTTAGATGATGTGGCCAACTGTATGAGCTACTTCACTAGTTGCAATTTAACATTGTTTCATACAACACTATTACAGCTTTTGCTTTCCTCGATTGCTTGAAATGATGCGTGTGCTCAAGATTATTTGTAAATCATACCCTGTCATCATTAACTAGTTTCCAAGTAATATGCGTTCAGTTCAATCGAACTTATTTCCATGTGATAGGAGGTACCAAGTTGGCGATGGTTTTAGCGACCAATTTTTGTCGTCACCATTGTAACGGTATACGCCCTTCATATGCCTTTCAGTAATTTCGTGAAGTAGATGAAACTAAAGATTTCTCGGCAGCCGGAGAAAACTGTATAATACCGAAGAGAGAGCATCAATTTCTCAGTAGTTGTGAGTTCAGAGCGACTGCGGAATTTTCATCCGTGACAGCTTCGCCTTTTAGATGTACTTTGCACTACGTTGTGTTTAACTTTCCCAGTAGTTTGAATTGGTAACTAGTAACTGAGCGCCGCCTGAGATAACCACTGACCTGACTTTGTTGTAAAAGTCTTACAGTGTTAATAGTCATCCTGGCAGAAGGGAAAATTTCCTCCGTGTAAAAATATACATATAAATATTACATGGGCATACAAGGCCTGTGTATAAGCATAGATATGTTGATAACAATCAATGTCCTGTACAAGTTACATATGATAGATATATAAAATCATGACAGCTATGTGTACATTTAAATATTATATGAATTCATATTTTACAATACTTTTACTGAGATAATCAAATTAAACTCGTAATTCGTTTACACATTGACTGGATTTTCAATGTCATTTAAACTGCTTTACAATATTATTTTTATCAAGTACATACAAACTGGATAGTAATATGCTTACATTACGATAGTTTTGCTCTTACAGACCTGTTACTATTCTACGAGGTGAGCTATTTTTCTAGTGTTGATTTTCAGTTGTTGTAGTATTTTGAATTGCTATTAAAATTATGCTGCGAAGATACAATTCTCAAGGGAGGGGGAGAATTTCTTAGTATCTTGCTGAGCATGGCCTGATTACCTCCTCTATTTTAGTTTTCGTCTGCTTGTTGCCGCAGGTATTCTCCGCCCATTGCGGCCAGTATTCACTGCTTGGCAATTTTAAATGCTGTTTATCGGTTTGTGGGCAGCTGAAGAGGAAGTGATCTGCATCACCTACCGCACCACATTCACACAATTCTGACGCTCGTTTGCCGAATCTCTTAAGATAATGTGGGAAGGGACCATGGCGAGTGTAGAATTGAGTTTGTGCTCCGCTGTATGTATTAACTGAGCACGTGACTTTCGGAAAGAACTTGTAGGGTAACTGGTAACTACTGATTGTGCTTTGTGATATTGAGAAGAGCTGTACGAGTAGTTTTGTGGAAAGTTCCAGAACTGCCAAGTGTTTCTTTTTCGTTTCTTTTGCAGTGCGTTGTGTTTAACGTTCTGAGTAGTTCGAATGGGTAACTGGTAACTACTGTTTGTGCTCTGTGATACTGAGAAGGAATAGCTTTTTGGGAAGTTCCAGAACTGTCTAGTGTTTCTTTGCGGAAAATAATTTTTGTCAAGCTATCATCGGTTCTGTGTGCGTTCAATCCATTACAAAACCCTACGCACGGAACAACAGTAACACCACCTTCCCCGAAAAGTACGATAGCTATCCACTACGACTCCTTATTAATAGAAACTCAATTTTGCATAAATTTAAGAGCCCCGTTATTAATTAAGAGACTTACTCGCAAGCTTCATTGCATTCTCTAGAGCATTTCTCAATCATCTTCTCAGGTGCATAGTAATCTAAACATACCAAAAATAAAAAACACAAAAAATTTATCTTAAAAACTACGTTATTGTAAGCTACAACTAAAAACGCATAACTGAGAATATTTGTAACTCTAAACTGAAATCTGACAGCAATTCACAATTCTATAGCTTAATTTATTTTATTAAAAATATTTTTATTAATTATGATAAGTGATAACATATTAATACTAACTTATACTACAAGAGGAATGGTTATGTGGATACGATATTGATGTAGCAACGCAACCAACCGTGTCCATCATTTGCTTTATTCTGCAAATTTCCGAGCATGCCTGAAAAATTACAGACATACTTAGAATGAAGATTTATTTTCAGCAGTATAACTTTAGATCTATATCATAATAAGTATTCTCAAAGCTGTTGCTAATGCAATACAACTGTTCATGTTAAGAACCAAATATACAGTTAACTCCGCTGTAGTGAACTCCAAGGGACACTAAAATATAAAAACATTTTTATATTTTTATTTTTTTTATTTTTTATTTTTTATTTTTTTTTTTTTATTTCTAATGAAATGGAATAACAAAATATATTTTACCTTTAACTTTCACTTACGATGAGCATGGTTACAAAAAAATGATTCGGTAACTTAAAATAATATTGTAGGTTGATCTGTGGAAAGCAAAACTTAAATTCAAAGGACAGAATTTAAACAACTTTTATACTAAAAACAAATCGGGGGAAGGATTTTGATCGCTCTTAAAGGCTCTTTTAAAGTTTAATATAGTTTATTGGTAGAAACATTATTGGTAGAAATGACCCACATGGAATAGCGAAACATTTTATAGGATATTAGATGAGTTTAGACTAACATAGAAATGTTGTATCTTTATATTTGAAAATTAAAAAATATGTACTGAGATTTTATAAAAATATTAATTTAAATTTAATTTAATAAATTTGTTTTTAAATAGATACATCATGAACTAAATACATTTTCATTTAAATCAATCACTTGATGAAGCAAATAATAATAATAATAATACTTTTAAGAACTGTATCCATTATTTTTTTTTTAAAGTTTAGTCTATTAATTGATAACAGACTTACTTTTTTCGAATATCAGCGGGCTCAAATGAAAGGTGAAACAACGCATTCAACTAAGACAACGCAAAATCATATTTCGAAACTAACAACTCTTTTAGACTGGAAAAGGGGGGGATAGAAAAGTTTCCTTTTCCAAAAAAATGAATTATCAACTTTATAACCCAAACTCGTAACACTCATTACTTCCTGCTACTGTGAATAGCGAAAATTACAAAATTTTCATCATCAGCCTTAAATAGGTCTGACAGCTCTCAAAGAATTCTGAATTAAATCGAAGTGCCCACTTATGTATATTCTTTGGTTTAACGGTCACGCACGTACAACAAGTAAGAGAACGCTATATGGTGTCCTAAGATTTGCTTATTGAGTTCTCGTTTTCATAGACAGTGTCACACTTGTTTCGCATAGTCTTTCTTAAGAACGCGGAAAAAAGTAGTATTGAACATTAACAAAAGCAACGAACAAGTGTTTTCTTTTACGGATGGAATATGGATTGCGGATCTTAAAAGCCTAAATAGGGAATATTTTAAGGATACGTAGATTCTTCGTTCAAACTTCCACTAATCTGGAAAAATACAAAAAAGTGCGAATAGATGATATTCATATTAAGAAAATTATTTATTCATTATGGTATGATCATTTTTATTTCAGCTCTATCTGATTCTCAATTAATTAGAACATATTAGCCGTAGTCGTATTCATTTATCTTCTAATTATGTCATTAATCTTCGTCATCACATAATTATCATCACTTCGTCTCGGCTGAACATCCTTGGTAACAGTCATGTAGTCTAAAACAAGGAATAGTCCAGGTGTGCCAGTACTAGAGACTCACATCTAAACTTTTGATGGTTATCAACGAGCTCAGTTCGCATTCCAGTTACGTACCAGTTTATTTCAGTGATAAATTTACGACTGATAGATATCTGATATTTACGACTGATTGATACCAAAGGGTTAACTCAACCGAACTTCATTCCGGCTGACCATCGTAAGGAATACACCGTCTACCAATAAGTTTTTGGATATCCCTGCAAATGCCGATATCTGCGGTCCTGATATACGTCACGCCTTCCGCCGTGAAATATCGTGTAGGAAACAACATTGGCATTAGTCGCATACAAGATGCCGCGAAGTGCAGAGTTACCTGATTTCAAGAAAAGTCAAATCGGAGGGTACCATAGAAAAGACCAATCCTTAAGTGGCATATTTATCAAATGAATTACACAAAAGGAGATAAATTACACAAAATCGGTAATGGACTATGTTATTCAGAAGTAGAAGTTGAGCGATGGTTGTTGGAATGTGCCTGAGTTGGCAGACCCATTGACCTGGAAGACAGAGACCGACAAGTATTGTTCACAGAAATTCGGAGGAACCTCACCCAGATGACCCACATACTTTCGGAGTTTCAACAGGTATCCAGGAGCGTTGTTCCGATGAATATCATCCGCAAGAAAGTCCATTTGATTGGTTTTTCACGGCCGTGCTGCCACCTCTAAGCTTTTGATCACAAAGTCCAAACGCTCCTTCCGGTTAATGTGGTGTAAAGCACGTTGGCAATGGACCATAGATCAGCGGAAACGGGTTTTCTGGAATGAAGAATCAAGGTTAATCGTTTACCGTAGAACGTCTGGCTGGAGAACGCCTACTGCCAGCATGCATTATGTCCACTTGATAAGCTCAACTCTGACACCTACTGCACTATTTTGGATGGCAATGACAATGTGTAATTTCTTGTTGTGGAAATTTTACGGGTTAGTCTCATGTTGTTTCAGGACGACAACACCAGCTGTAACGTTGCGAGGTTCACCATGGATATGATCTCAATGGGGGCCAAGCGAATGGACTGACCGGCTCAGAAGTCAGACCTGAATCCTACCGCGAACCACTGGGACAAATAGGATAGTGGAATTAAGTGATGCAGCAACCATAGAACATCGGTGAAGGAGCTTATAAGTCTTCTCCAAGTCGAGTGGAGAAAATTACCAATAGGCGTCATACAAGAACTTGGTGGAAAGCATGCCAAGCACAGTTGAGTCTGTAATTGCTTCTCGTGGTAGCTCTACCAACTACTAAATATGAATAAATTTTGTTTTTCCTTTCTAGCATAGGTGTCTATATACTTGTTAGTAGATAGTGTAATCATGCAATTTAACTCTAGAAACGGTGCAGTAGTGCTGGTCGGTCAGTACATGAGACTTACGTTTAACGCAGGAATTCCTCTCCTGAGCATCCCCGATAACAGTCATGCAATTTAAATCTAGGAACGGTCTGGTTGCTATGCTGGATCTCTGCAGAAATCTCAATGCAATTTCTTCACTTTCTTCTTTCTCGGAACTATTTCTATCTGAACAAGTATATTATACTAAAGTTGATTTTTATATGAAGGCAAATGGAGCTTTCTGCTTTTATGCATTATCTACCAGAAAGAACATATTTGTTACCAAAAGCTATTCAAAGCTAGTAATCATATAAACTTGATCATTTTAGACAATCTAATAAACCCGTGGAAGGAAGAGAAGCTACAATCTTGGATTTAATAAAAAATATGTAAAACAGATTCAGTGTTTGCTCTTATCATTTTTTATCATTCAGTAAAACCTTTATCGACACTTAAATTGTTAGTATGAAGAATTTTACTTAAATTCTAAAATAAATAAAATAAAACATAAATGTATTCAACACAGCCAGAATTTATATTTTCTCTCACTTTCTTAGTTAATGGGCCATAGCCTCCATTTCTCCTCCACAGACTTCTATAATCAGTGCAGTTCGTTTCATAAGGAGGCGGCAATCGAATACGAACAATCTGAAAAATTGGAAGAAATAGTATGTTACAACATGAAGTATTTAAAAATCTTAAAATGTTTTTTGAAATGGAAGCCTGAAATAGATACACAGACCCATGGTCGCGAATTGAAAGTTCAGCAACTCTCAAACTTTCAATTTAATTTTAAACTCTTCCTAACTCTTATTCTACTAAAGTAAATGTTCAGGAACCTGGTGAACTTATTAACGGTTTATCGCTGAGTTCAAATAACTAAGACGTAGGTTCGAGAAGGGTTAACTACCCCTTATTTCACTCAAAATAAGATGAACAGTCAGCCCCTTTCTTCGGGCTTACAACAAAGCCTCCAGTCGTGGTTGAACTACAAAATAAGAAAATCTGATGTGTACACCAAATGACTTCCTTGTACGGAATATTAATTATACGCATTTTTTCTTGCATTTCGTTTAAACTTATTGAATTGAATTAAATCTACTTCGCCGACAGCGCATAAACCACAATAGAATAAATGCATTCTTTAAAATTCACTCTAGTATTTGTTTACCATAGCGACACTCTGGCGCTAGATTCACTTAACAGTATTTATTATATTTCGTTCATATTATAACTCATAATGCACAAAATTTATATCATTTAAAGAATAGAATTATCTAATCGTTGCCACATGTTCTATTCAAATACTATATACCGTTGCGCGCCCCTAACTAGCACGCAACCAAGAGGTGACTGTGAAAGCTTGTATAAACCACAGAGTCTTATAAAGGGTTTAAGTCCCTTTTTATTCAACGTAACTAAATTACAATTGCGTCCTCTTGACGCTTACAAACTGTGCCAACTAGGCAGTCAAAATAAAATAATAACCTGAAAAGAAAATAAAGACAAGATTCTAACTACGAGGCTCTCTAAAATAACTAACTCACCGCGTTTTACAAAATACCGCTGCTAATTCAGCAGACTTGAAGCTCACTGGAACAATTGCCACTACTTCCCGCCAAGCACATAGGCCGCAACGCGGGGTTCTTCAATTCTCGATTTCTACCTCCGCGCTCGCTAAGTAAGAATAACTCTCTCTCACCGAACTTGTTTCCTTCTATTTAAATCATACTACTTCCGCTGATAATTTGAATGCTTGCGCGTTCTACTCAAATTTACATATTCTGGCATTGGCAGTTCCAGGGGAAAGTAAGGCTTGACAGGAAAGATAGTTTAAACTTAAAATAAATGTTAGTTAAAATAAATATAAACCCTACATTTGCCGCTGCCAGAATTTGGAAAACTTGGAAGCAGGTCCTACAAACGACCTGTTGTAAGTTTATCTAATTCTGAACTAACTGGCGAAAGCCTCGTTTACACAAAAAAAAATCTTATGTAACAATATATAAAATTCTGTTAGCTCGTTACAAAGCTTTCTTCTTACAGCAACTTTTCCTGGACTTCATCAATCAATCTTGGTCTTTCCTTCCAGCATCTGGAAGGAATAAGTATCAGTATCTTTCTACATACATTATAATTTACACTTTCTTGACACAATAAATTTTTGTTTTTAACGATTCGTTTTTCTTAGTTATTGCTTACTTCACATTCATTCAATTTTTCAAGCATTAATTTAACTTTACCCTGGCTCTCCACCATGTGTGGTGTCAAACGGGAATATTCGTGTTTTAGTCTTACAACACTTCCCCTAACCACCATGATTTGTTAGAATTCAACAACCAAATAGACACACCTTACTCGACATTCTACAACTCAATGAGCTACTTTAATATTCTTAAAAATTCAAATGTAGGTGGAGAACCCTACAAAACACATTCATTCTAACTTCCCCCTCATTCATCTTTAAACATGCAGGCTTTCGCTCTAAAGCATGACTTTTCTACAGTTTAATACTTAAATTTTGACTTCATTGCTTTTTAAGCATTCACTTTTAGCATCTACAATTTTATGCTTCTAGACTAAATTCTACTTTTACATAACATTGCAAGTATTTACATACATTTACAAAAGTTTAATACATATGCTTTTTACAATTTACCATAAAATGAATAAGAGAAAATAAATTTTTACTTTACTCATTCTTCGCCAAGCTGGCGGCACTGAAACTAAAATTCTTATTAATACAAGAATACGAAGTTATTTTTATCTTCCGGCCAAATTTTGGCTTTAACATAACAGAATTAGTCTTTCGACCAACAGAAAATGCTTGTTTTTAGCTTTTACACTTAAAGAAAATAATACTTTTGCCTTAGCTAAATAAAGTAAAACAAAACTAAGTCTCAACCGAGACATATTGACTTTCGTCAAAACATAGAACTTCGTACTTATGCATAACATTTCGGAACAAAAGAGAAAAAAAAATTTATAGAAGGTTTTAACTTATCTTTGAGTTTTCGATGCTTGAAACTCCGTCATCCGTTTTTGGCAAAATTGATCCCAAGTTAGAGGTTGTCATGGATGTCAATCTTCTCCTTGTTGATCTCCGAGTGTCGTCCCCGTTGATCTTTCTTTTGCGTCCTCTACATGCTGGCCTCTTGACGGAGTAATCGTCTGGTTGTTGGCCTTTGCGTTTCTGCCTGGGACGGCTGGTCTTGACGTCCTCCGGTCTGGAGTCCTTCTTGAATTTCTTCTGTTCCGTCGTATTTTTGTGCCTCCTGTTGGCGTTTCAGTTTTCCGGAACGGCGGCCTTGCTGGCACCTGACTCTGTGGCCGTGTGCGCGTTCTCCTTGATGTGTAATTTCTCCTGCCATCCTTTGTAGGTGGTGTTTTCGTCTTTACCACGGTTTCTTTACCCGGTTCATCTGTATTTTTGTTTTTCTTAAACGCTGGAGTGGAGTTGAAAATTCATTTTTTCTTTTGATACCGACGTCCGGGTTGTAGAAGTGCTAGGTCTCTCTCTTCAGTTCTCCGTTTCTTGGGTGGTGGAATAGTTGTTGCAGTCTCTGGCCCTTCTATTTCGTTTAGACTTGAGTCCTGCAAGAAACTTTTAAGGATTTCAAAATCATTTGGATTATAGTATTTTTTCACCTGGTCGGGACTTGCTTTACAGATTTCCCCTCTCTCGTTTTTAAGATATAAGACTACTCCTTTGATTTCCTGAATTACATAGGGGCCTTCAAACTTTGGAGCTAGCTTTGCCATAAAATTGTCTGGGGCACTTGATAAAGAAAATTTCCGCTTCAATACTTTATCCCCAACTTTAAAATCTGCTTCACGGCGTTTTCTATCGTAATATAACTTTTGTCTATTTCTTGCCGTATCCGAAGTTTTTAAGCGCCTGATCAATTAGCTTTTGCACACGTCCTTTTGTTTAAATTCCTGCTCTCTTTGTTGCACAAAGAATAATTTATCTAAAGGCGTAATTAACTTTCTGCCTAAAAATAATTCTGCTGGAGTTTTTCCCGTAGTATCATGATGTGCCGTTCTTAAAGCATAAGCTAATTCATTTATGTAGCCATCCCAGCGCTTGTGATGTGTGCTCACGTAACTGCGAATTATTTTTACAATGTTTTTATTAACTCTTTCTGCTATGTTAGCCTGTGGTCTATACGGAACCATTTTGATATGGCGTATATGCCAAGTCCATTGCATATGTTTTCAAATATTTGACTAATGAATTGTTTTCCGTTATCGCTAATGACTTTTATCGGTGCACCGTATTTTAAAATGTATCTGTGTAAGAATGCATCTGCGACTGTTTTGGCTGACGCGCGTTTAAGTGGAACAATTTCTATCCATTTTGAAAAATGATCTACTATTACTAAAAGAAAAACGATTTTTATTTAACTCGCTCTGGGGGAAGGGACCAAGGAGATCTATGCCTAAAATTTCATTCGGAAATGTAGCGCGAATGCTATTTAAGTACCCGGCCGGGCTGTAATTAATATCATTTATTAACTGACATTGATTGCAGGACCTGACATACGCCGTTACTATTTTGTATAATTGCGGGAAATATACCGCCTCGCGTACCCTTTTTAAAGTCTTTCTGACCCCGAGGTGGCCCGCTGTTTTTTTTTTCGTGCAACTCCTTCAAAATGCTTAATCGAAGCGAGGCTGGGATGACTGGCTTATACTCAAGATTTTCGTTTGTTGTTTTCGTATAGAATAATAAAAATTATCTATTATTTCATAGTTTTTTGCTCTATTTCTTATCGCATCGATATCTGTGTGCTCAAAGCTTTCGGGGTCTTTCAAATAAGCATAGATATTTCCAAATTCAGGATCAGCTTTCAGTTCAGTAATAACCGTATCTCTAGAATCTAAAATTTTTGAAGTCAACACAGCGCATTTAAGTTCATTTCCTTCATCGTCCAGTTTTATACGAGAAAGTGCGTCAGCTACATTGTTTTCCTTACCCGGTTTATATTTTATTGTGATATTATATTCTTGGAGTTTTAAAGCCCATCTTATTAACCTGGGCGTTAGGTTTTTTCCCGAGTAAAGTCTACCAACAGCCGCATGATCCGAAAAGACTGTTACTGGCGATTTGCCGAAATAAACTCGAAATTTGTGTACAGCCATTAATACGGCTAATGTTTCTCTTTCTGTAGCTGTATAATTCCTTTGTGTTTGATTCAATGTTTTACTAAAAAATGCCAGCGGATGGTTATTTTGCATAAGAACCGCACCCACCGCATAGTCTGACGCATCTGCCGCAATTTCCAGGTTTTCGTCCCCCTCAGGGAATTTTAAAACAGGGGCATTAATAAGCGCTTCTTTTAATCTTTCAAAAGCTGTGTTAGCTTCCGCTGTCCACGTAAATTTACTCTTTTTTCTTTTGATTACTAAGAGTGGTTCAACAATATTAGCGAAATCTTTTATGAAAGATCGATAGTAAGAACATAGTCCAAGGAAAGACGAAAGTTTCTTGGCGGTGTTGGGCGGTGGGAAATTCTTAATAGCTTTTATTTTTGAATCTTGCGTTTCTATACCCTTTTGCGAAATTTTATAACCGAGATATTTAAGTTCTTTAGTTGCGAACTTGCATTTTGAGGCGTTAATTGTAAGACCGGCCTCTTTTAATA